AATATAAAATAAGTATGAAGAGAGAAAAATTTATCAGTTTTAATAGGGTATTAAAAATGTAAACAATACAGATACAAATAGTAACAAGTGTTGAGTAGTAGTACATCTAAAAATCAAAAGGTATATCATAGAAAGTGCAACGTAAATGACTAGTCTAACACATAGGCAATCTAAACTAAACTAGAGCAAAAGTAACATTTATGCAACAAAAAAAGAAGTGCAACTACAAAAATCCCACATAAATATATACAAGAAGTGACTAAATAGAGAAAGTCTACATATAAGATCTATAACAAAAAAGTAAATTCTATCTAGTCATCCTCCTCATCATTAGCATCATCATCAGAAATGTTTTCATCCATCAACTTATGACGTTCATATGGATAAAACCGAGGGCAAGTACGAAACTCAACTGAATGATATCCCTTAAAAAATTTTACTGATGACTCATCATAAATCGCAACGTAGTCACTCTTTGTTTGCATGTATTGTTTTGCATGATCATATATATCTTCCATATCTTGCATTCTAAATTGTATTAAAAACAGCTCGAACTAGTGTTCTAAATATCTCTCACTCATCACATCCTAAAAATCAAAAGGTGGAACAGAAGTACTGGAGGCAGAAGATCTAGAGGTAGAAGTAGATCGAATGTTAAAAGGTGTGCCTCTAGATATCCCATAAATATCCACATTAGCCTTTCCAATAGGCTTTAGTGGCTTTAATTGTTCCTCCCAAGTTTTATATTTTACTCCAGAGTTCTTGCAGATAGTAAAAATAAGAGAATAAAACTCAAACCTGCCGAAGAACTATATCTAGCAGAGGTGTAAATACCATTGAATAAAATAAAGCCATCAATGAGTTTCATCATTTGAATGCAGTAGTTCAAGGTGGCTCTCTCGTGAGTCACCTCGCTCAAGTGGTTTGAGGGAATTAATCTAGCAGAAATGAAGTAGTGTCATGCCTTTGATGGGGATTAAGCGAGGAAGAAAAAAAATTTACCTTATGTTCATTCCTCATCTTCCAGACTCCACGCCCATCAATAAGGTACGCAATAATCTCATCAAGCTCAGTCTCAGTAGGCTTGAACTCTGAATAAAAGCAGTCTAGCGAAGGAGGTAAACCATATAACACATGAATCAGCTCGACGGTGAACTCAACTCCCCGTTCTCTAAAAAATACCTCATCCTTAAGTAAATTTGCATAGAATTCCCTCACGATAGAAATAACTGCTACGACAGTGAAGTAGCATGATACCTTCCATTGGCGAGCAGCAATCAGGTGTTGTACCGCTCCACCAAGACTTGAAAAGCTCTACTCCGCAATGAACTTTCGTGACAATAAAAATTCATTGTATCTGTCCTTAGCCTTGTGATTCACAAATTTGGTGGTATGAAAATTTTCCTTCCCCATTCCTCTTTTATTTTTAGGTGTCATGCTTCAAATCTAAAAAAATTCCAAATAAATCATATATATAAGTTTTAAAGGCTCCTAAAAATATTTTTCAAACAAATGAAGCTTTCATCCATGAACTTCTTACCACAAATTTCAAATTTTAGCAATTTTAGGCCTCCACTCAATGCGAAAGAAATCCATGGTGAAACCATAAAATTTCTATGCCAAAATATAGATCTAACCTAGAGAAGATGAAATCAGGTGTTTTTTTTTTGTTTTTATAAGTTTAAAAATCTTGAACTAGGGGAAGCCCTAAGTGTCACTTTCAAAAACTAGAGGTAGAAGAAGAAGGAAGGTTAAAAATGGCCTTGGGTCGACTTAAATCCTGATTTTCTCCCTTATTGATCGGTTCAGCCTTTTTGGTGTCTAGGCACCCTGCTGTGCAAATGGCTAGCGCTTAGGCACCAATTCTAGCACATAGGCGTTAGGCCCAAATTTTTGAAAAATTTGCTTTTAAGTGTGCCACAACAAGTCTATGGCCCCCAAATCAAGATTTAACATTAATTTAACCACATTCTCTTAATTGAATACCCTCCCAGTATCTTCCAACTTCTATTTACTCCACTATAACTTCAAAACTTTAATCATTCCAACATTCAAACACAAGAATTTTCACAAACTTAACACATTTTCATTACTAACAGACATGTTTTAATACAACGTACATATCAAAGCAATACAACAGATCAAATAAATAATAATACAAATACTAAACTTCTCCTAGTACTGAACACACCCTCGACTAGAGTCAACACACTAATTTCAATCACATGCATATTTAACACATAAAATCCTCAGAAGCCCTTCCAATGATTAGTAATTGTATGGATATTCATAACGTTGTGTCGGCCTTTCATAGTGCCAGGCTAGCCATGGGTCTTGATTCCTCTCCTGGCCAACGTGTTGGTGGTATCGTCTGGACCTTTTGTTGTTGTGAGAGAACTGTACATCTTTGTTATGACGTCGATCGGGTAGTCTGTGTTTCTCTCTTCACTTCAAGCTGTCACTGAGGGTAGCACTCTTCTGGTATGGCGCCCTTATGGTACTCGTTTAGGAGTACTTTACTCTGCTAACATGTGTTTGTTGGCTCTGTCTAACAACTTGATCAATTCATAGGGTTCATTAATGCTACAGTGGTAGGAAAACCTCTTGGACCACAAGCCTTGCTTCAATGCAGCTACACCCACATCGACTTTAAGGTCTTTCACCTCCAACATTTCCCTCTAGAAGTGTGCAATAAATTTGCCCAGGCTCTTGTGTTGACCCTGCTTGAGTTGCCACAAGGACTGCACGCTCTTGGCGGGCTTCTAGACACTAGCAACTGCGTTGAGAACAACCTCTTGAAATCAACAAAGTTGTTGATGCTCCCGACCAAAAGTTCATGGAACCACTTCAAGGTCGATGACTTTAAAGTGGTGAAAATATGATGATACTTGAATGCATCTGAGATTTTTAGCAAGTACATGACAAACTCAAATCCATCAATATGGTCGATGTGGTCTATCCACCCTCTATAAGCCTCCAAGGCCTACAGTTTGAATTTTTTTGGGGGCTTTTATGCAGATACTTGGAGGGGGAAAGGATTCTTTGACTGACATGGCGCCTCCGTGCGCCCCAACTGCTGCCTTTCCACCTATGTAGATTCTACACTGTTTTAATAATACGAGTCACCAGCCCTCTCAGAGTTGTTGTTCATTTTCTTGTCATTGTGCATCGACACCATCTTCTGTGGCTGGTTTTGTCTTCTTGTGGACCTGATTTTCTGTTAGGCCTACGAAACCCCTCAGGACTTTGGTGATGTAGCCCAACACCTGCTCCATTATCTGAGTTCTCATCTCCTACATTTCTCTCTACAGCGTTCCTCGATGTCGTCTCAAGGGGGATCTATGTTAGCCACAGTTCTTTTGTCACTCCATTCTCTCTGTGTCATTGTGCTCTTCTTGTTAACGGTATAAATCCACGCTGATCGCACATTTTAGGATGTTGAATCCAAATCTATCTGGGTGACACGCCTAAGGAAAAAATTACTGAAAGATGGGAGGGGGAGGGGGAGGGGGAGCGCAATATTGAATAGTAAATTTTCGTAACCTTTATTCATGAAATGAACCCCCTATTTATAAAAATGGGTCATTATACAATTATATGTTGTACCCCTAAAGTGCATTGGTACAACAGAGGCATTTCATTCTATATATAAGTATGGAGGGTGGGGCCAATGGATATGGTTGGGCAGTCGTTGGGTAGGGCGGCCTTCAAGCCAGGCGTCAGTTGGGTCAGACGACCATCAAATCGAGGGGCCTTCGAAACTTTAGGATATGTTTCACCTTCTCGGTCTATCCAGGTGGAACGCACCAGGTTCATTCGAGTGGATCTAATCAGAAGGGCCCTTCAGTGGGTGATCTACCCCTTATTCGTCTAAGGTGCACTGTCTTAACTGTGCGCATTAGAATGTCCAACTGAGTGTGTGGTCCTTAGTCATCCTTGGTAGGTCCCGCGAGGCCACATCACCACTTTTATCATCCACGAGATATCTGTATGCTTCGTCTGATGCATTTTCAATGTACAAGATACAACTCTCAAATCATTAATATCAAAGTATTATTTGTGCCAACTTCCTCATTTTTACTATTTATTTTAACAAATAAAACACGTTAGTACTTGATAGTTTTATTTTTGTGATTGTATTTGTAAATATACCACTTATGATTGTATTTTATTTATTTATTTTATTTACATTATTACTTCATTATTGTATCATTTAATTTATATTTAATTAATTTTTTTAATTATTACATCATCCAATTAAACCTCAAATTCAACTCCAATCTAATCAATGGACCTTGAAACTCCCATTCATCTAGTTTGATGTGTGATCCAATTTTCACAGCATTTTTATTTATCAAGTCTGAGAGCAACATTTCTACAAAATAAAGGATTCCGAATCACTTCATTGGACGACTCAAAAAAATTCCCTTAGTCATACCACATTTTGTGGGTATTCAAGTACTTTGACTATATGAGAGTTGAATAATATTAAACTCATTGAACTCATTCTATTTGAATGCTCAATTTGACTATAATCTTATCCATTTTAAAATATATTTGGTCGTCCATAAGCTACCCAAAGTTTTCTAAAATGATTTAACAATTTGACTCGAGCTTGATTTGACTTGAATTCAACCAATTTTGTCCCGCTTTATTGAGCCAGTCATTTTAGCTATAAGTTTGCATAATTTAAAATTCTAAATGATTTCTATCTTAAATTTGAATATTTATTACCTACAAAAGCCTCGAGATTCATATCATAACCTCAAGATTCATGTCATATGTTAAAAATTTGATCAATTGTGATAAATTTTAGAATTTTAAAAAATCCAAAGATGTAAAGGAGTTAAAGTAGTCTCAACAATAACCATCCCAAACAACAACCCATACAATTACCATAAACAAACAGTTCATAACATAATAATAATAATAATAATAATAATAATAATAATAATAATAAAGATAAAAAAATAAATAATAAAAAAAACTAAAGAGGACAGCATTCGTTGTATTATAACGATAACTCATTTAAAAAACATCATAAATTACACAAAAAACAAAATTTTGATATGCCTTGAGAAACATCTGCTGGCCAGATAGCCAGTCCACACTGAAACGCTCGCAATCAATTCAAGCAGCAGTCGTACAAAAGCCTGCATCATCTAAACCCCCAATTTAGAAAGTCCATTAAGCTGAAATCCCACAAACAATTCCATAAATTCTCTTCTCAAAACCCTGCAACAGAGCTCCATATCATCATTCAAACCAATTATCTCGCAATCAGTCGCCATTACCATATGCTGCAACAGAGGTTCCTGAAGAATGAAGAAATACAGGAAGATGATTCTCCAAAACTGCAAGTAGCTCATAGGACTGGCTTCCTCTGTTGACAGCTCCATTGGTAAGCCTCGCGGCCACCTCCACAAGCTGCCCTCTAAGTCTCTGCGGAAGTAGCTGCCCGCTTGCCTCGGCGCACTCCCTGTACAACGGCAAGTATGCAATGGCCATCATTAATGGTGCCGGCAGGTCCCTTAAGCATATGGGTGATTCACCTCTCCTTAGAATTCTCATGAAGTTCACATAATCGTCCTGCCCACTCCTAAGTCCCACAAAAAAAGCCTCTTCTGACCACTGTTCCTGGAGGAAAGCTTTCAGCTCGCGAGCTACGGCCTCATCGTCGGATCTAGCGATGCTGTCAGCCACCGCATAGGTTGCGGCAGCATCACGAAGAAAGTTCGACTGGAGAAGAAAGGCGACGCCGTCGAGTGAGCCACCACTCCGCTCGCCGGCGGCTTTGATGATCTCTACGCTCAGGGCGGCAAGGACGTGTTGCGGTACATGAGGGAGGAGGTATGCAGTTACTTCGACTTGGCTGCTGGAGGTTGCAGCAGTTAGGGCGAGACAGAGCTCCATATCTCGGCAGCCACGGTTGATGAACCATTGGACGACAGGCATGCAGCCTCTTTCGGCAGCACGCATGAGTGGTCCTAGGAAAGCAGCTGCATGCCCCTCCTCTACCAAACATTCCATGGTTCCAATTTTGCTGTAGTGGGAGGCAAATCCAAAGGCGAGATCAACATCAACATCCAAGCTGTTTCTCTGGGCGATCTGAACAAAGTAAAGAGGGATTTGCGAAAATAAGTTCATATGATCTATAAAGCGCACACTACAATTGAATCATAGTATTAGATTTCTAATAAATCAAAATTTTACTCATTTTGGGGCATTTACATACATACCAAACATTTCTCTAGTCTTTACATATCTAACACCTAAACTTCAATTTTTACATTGAAAGCAATCAAATTTTTAACATCACATAAAAATATCACCTTTACTAACTTTTCAAGTCAAATGCATTTTTTATTAATAGGTTTATATTACGAAGTGGTTATCAATGTAAAAATCAACCTTTAGGTGTTAGCTATGTAAATTCAACAGAATTGTGTGGTACATATGTAAATTCCTTTTTTTTTTCCTTTTTCTCATTATAAACCCTAAATCTGGATTATCATAATCAAGAGAGCAATCTAGAACAATTGGGTCCCAAAAGGAAGATTTTCTTAATTCAGAGTGGGTTTTAAAGCAATCGGCATACTCAATATCAAATATTTTACAAGACTGACAATATTAGGGCAAAACTTGAAATTACACTTTCACAAAGAAATGTCAATTGATATATTTCAAGTCAAAGGAGCAGAGCGTCTATTTCAACAAGAACACTTCACAAAGAAAAAGGAGCCTGGCTTTTAATAGCATCTAATTGTATTGGTTTACTAAAAACTTGAACTACGAGAGTATAATGTAGATAGATTGACATAAGAGATGTGAAGATAATGGAAAATAACCCAAACAAGGGTAAATAACCCTCTTTTCTCCTTAAAATTTCTCAATTTATTTTTGTAAGTGTATTAGTTCATCCATTGGAGTCTAATTGTATTGGTTTACTAAAAACTTGAACTACGAGAGTATAATGTAGATAGATTGACATAAGAGATGTGAAGATAATGAAAAATAACCCATACAAGGGTAAATAACCCTTTTTTCTCCTTAAAATTTCTCAATTTATTTTTGTAAGTGTATTAGTTCATCCATTGGAGTCTAGAGGCCTTCATTTAAGTAGAACTAAAACTGAATACATGGATGTAATTGTAGTAGTAGTAGCTCTAGTGACAAAAAATGTGACTTTGGGTGATCAAATTATTAAAAGGTGTGAACGATTTTGATATCTTGGGTCCGTTGTTCAAAGCGATGGTGATATAGATGGGGATGTTAATAGTAGAATTCAAGTTGGTTGGTTGAAGTGGAGGAATGCTTCGGGAGTTCAGGCCTTTTGTGTGATAGAAAAGTACCGCTTAGACTGAAAGGAAAATTTTATAAGATGGTGGTGAGACCTGCAAGTTCTATAGCGCTGAATGTTGGCCTTTAAAAGAGAAGTATAACAATAAGTTAAGTGTTGCTCAGATGAGAATGATTAGGTGGATGAGTGGCTTTACACTTAGAGACAAAAAGCGAAATGAATATATTCGTGATAGGGTTGGTGTAGCTCCTGTGACGGACAAAAATCAAGAAAGTCGTCTTAGATGGTTTGGTCACATTAAACGTCGACCATCTGATGATCGAATTAGGAGAGTAGATGTTTTAGATTCGACTTGTATTAAGAAAGGCAGAGGTAGACCTAGAAGACTGGGGTTTATTGTATAAAAAATGATCTTAATTTACTAGAATTAAATGAAAATATGACACTAAATAGGACACAATGGAAAAATAGGACACAATGGAAATTCATGTAGCTAACCCCACGTAGTGGGATTAAGGCTTTGCTGTTGTTGTTGTTGTTGTATTAGTTCATCCATGATATTTAAGGGCATAAAATGACCACCTTCAAGCTACTCTTCATGCTAGAGAACTGAATAAAATATTAGCTCAGGATAGAAGTTCACAAACTTCCAAATACAAAATTCGTGATCATTATCATGAGTTTACGTATATAACTGGATGAGGCATTTTCTAGGAATTAGAAGGGTTCTAGCAGGTAGAAGTTATGGTTAATGAACTCGGGTTTATGAAACTTATTCATGGATTACAAAGCAATCAGACATCCATGTTGTCTGGAAAAATGTGAATAAGATGACAAATTCAACAAATTAAAAAATGGAACTTTGCTTTAGTTTGTATTTAAACTTAGCATATATGATAAAAACAAAACATCAACTGCAGCAAGGATGAAAATATGAAGAAAAATAAACAGCGCATAGCTAAACATTCGTAGTTCAATGATGTACTACTCAACATAATCCTGGTAAAAGCAGCTAGTTGCACATCAGGTAGACAGCACATTTAAAATCGGATAGCAAATAATTGATGCAATCCTAATTTCCAAAGTTTCCTGAAAATGGTACTGCCAAAGTTCCTAAAATATAGCCATATATTTGACCAACCACCTCATTTCTTAAAGCCACTCTTCATCTTCATGGTGATAGGCCTCCTATTACCTTCCCCTGCAACTTGAAGAGGGGGAATATGAGGTAGCTGGGATGGCTGATGAAGTTAAAATAAAAGCTATAGTAGTGATGGGAGATCAAAGAATGAATAAACAGATGTTAATTTAAATAAAAAGATTTATCTGAGCTTAGATGCCTTCAAATGGTGAAATAACATGGTACACATTTCTGTAAGCTAAGGGTTTGTTGGAATCAATTTGTTTTTTTTTTCCTTTACTTTTAAAAATGTGTTTGATTAGTGTGTTTTTACATGTTTTTAGTTTTTATTTCTAAAATTAAATTAACATACTCTCTGAAAACACTCAAAATAACTTATAAGTGTTTTAGTGTTTTTAAAAACAATTATATCATAATTAAATATGCCAAATATGTTGTTTCAAATCAAAGCATAAGCAAAACAAAATAAAAATATAAAATAGAAATAAAAAACAAAATCAGCACCATATAAGAGAGATCAAAAACAGATTAAACTTCTCCTATAGTACTAAATATAATCAAAATAGGATTTTCCTTTAATAAGGAAATTCAATATTTTATCAAAATTTTGCAATTGTTTCATAAATTACAGAGCATTTCATCAGAAATCAAGGATTACTCAAATTAGAAACCTTTCTTTGCTCGACTAAAATACAACTTGCCACTAGTTTGCTAACTTTTCATCTCATTAGCTTGTCGTGCATTAAGGAAAAGATGAACAACCATTTTCCCGCCATGGATAGATCTATATAGGAAAGATACAGAAACTATTTATCAACTCTCAACAACAGCCTATAGAAGAGTTGGTATAATTGTTGCAGAGACGACAATACCTCCCACGACCATAGTTCACCATAGCTAATTCATTTCACGATGCCTTAATTAATCTGAATGAAGATCAGCTTACTGAATCCACATTCTCTATCTATCTTTGTTGAGTGTTACATGAGGCCTTGAATCCTTTCCATGCAATTTTTTTTGCATAACTTCAATTCTGGTATCTCTCCAGCCCTTCTCATAATCCATCAACAATAACCATAACTATTAGTCTTATTTGTAAATAGTCTATCATTCATTGAACACTTGCAAACCACTGGTCTATTTTTTGATATCATATATTCTATTCATACCATCCTTTAAATATAATACTCTATCTATCATTTCAAATTTTATAATGTATCTATCTTAAAATTCCCATTTTTCTACATGCACAATTGCACTGTTTGTGAGTGTTTTATAGCCCAACTTTCAAATCCTACCACACAGCAAACCTAGTTAAAAGAGTATTATTAAATATATATTTAGTCTCCATTGAATTCTCTTACCACGACTTATTTCTAAGCAAACTTTTCTACTCTAACTCTAATATTCAAGATGTTGTATCAACTCTACGTCATTTATCTTCCAACTACTTTCTCTGTTTTTCCAACTATTTACTTAAATTTATCAAAAATTTTGCTAATTTGAATTATGTTATCTACGAGATGAAACAACTAGGTACCCAACACTGAATCTAAATAACTAATGCAAGAAGTCATAGAATTTAATGCAAGCCCTCGATAAAGTACTACTCTATGAAAATTCATTGGTCAGACAACAATTGCTAATTAATATTAGTCGACGCTACATCATACATATTTTTAACAACACCAATAACATCATTTTTCCACTCTATACTTTTCTATTAATTGCCTAGATGCAAAATCCATCTCCACAGATGTTTTGGCATAAAATCAAATTACTACTAAAATATGTATGTAATTTTTCTAATTCTATATTCATTACTCTCTCCCCTAATTTAACTATATGACTTGTCAGTTTGATTAATCTATAATTATTTTAAACATGACCATCTACTTTATTTTATAATATTGGTATAAAAAAAAAATAATCTCCACCCAGTTGACCTACTACTTGATCTTCAATATTAGATTAAAAAAATTCTTTACCTAACTATTGGAACATCACCCCCCATAGATTTCTCATATAGAGCCAAATTTTTCACTTCCATGTATCTTCTTCAGCGCTAATTCCACTCTACTCTTTTGAGTTGATTCATAAAAGAATTGATTATTCAGATCATTAAGTTCTTCGAAAGTCCTTTTTCCTAAAACCTAATTTAACAAATTCTAAAATTAACATATCATTTCCTTCATGCATTCATCTATACTTAATATCTTATTATAATCATTAATGATAATTGCACACCGTTTACACTGCTTACAATAAAGATATTATAATTATAAGGTCAAAATACTCTAATAACTTGAAGGAACAATACCACAATAATAACAAAAATTCACAATTTGGATTGATATGCCTGTTTGATATCATCAAACCGCTATCACTTAAAATCACTTCAATCTTGAGCCAAAAAATGGTGAAAATTTATAGGAAAATTTTACCATTGTAAATTATAGGCAAATTTTGCATGAGTTGTGCAGTTGGTAGCCTGCCAAAAAAATAAGCATACTCACCAATCTTCAACATCATCATCATTTGTCTTTTCCTAATTATTTGGCATGCAGAAACAGAAGTCTACAAAATAACTTCAACGGCCATAACTTTCACTTTCGTCAGACCAATTTTGTTAAATCCTACAGGGAAATACCAATTTGCAGTGGTGAT